ATTATCATATGTGAACACTCAACCACTTTCGCTTGTGAGTGATTATCAGGTTGCGCGATCGCCTCGAGAGGAGACACAGTTACTGTCTGTTAACTCCAATCGATGACCCCTCAACTAGGACTTCTCTCCAAGTTGAAATCACAGAAATCATTGACTTGTTGAGCGGTATTTGATTACTGATGAGTAGTAGGGGATTTCGATTTTCATATAGATTGAACATCACCCACAATTGATCGCAGCTGTTGCATTCCTATAGACTGCCCTACCCAGTTAGATCAGTATTTACACATGTCAACATGTTATTCTCAATCCTAATCGCCTAACTAAAATCTGTATGATGGTGAATTTCTTGTGTCGAGCCAAACTAAACGATTATCAGTATCCTGGATATATCGTTTTTCAGGACGCAGCGATAATCTAGAGAACAATGCACCTCAGTGTGGATAAGTGAACGGGCTGTCCACACCGACCTCGATGACGCAACAATTTCTCCACATCATGGCACGGATAAAATGGCTAAACAAAACATATTGACAGAATCTGGAACGACACGCCTCATTAACGAAGTCACAAAACTGAGACATGTTGAGCGACACTTATTGTTTTCACAACATGGCTATATAACATCAGGTCAGAGTCTACAAATAGCGCGACAAACCTAAACCCACAACATGATATATCTTAGATTCCGGGATTAAATTGTTTGGTTTTGATCAATCTTTTAGTGATTTGTAAATCTGTCTCGTCGATGAATGCGATTTTTTTTACTATTCAGATTTTGATGAGACAAACTGTCATGATGGCACAACCCGTTCTGGAATATCGTATATTTACTTTGTGCATTTACACTCACTGGCGTATGCTGGTTCCCAGTCCAGCATTGCCTTTCAAGCGCTGAAACGGTTGCAGAGGCGTGTGTGAGCAGCTATGTGTTATTTTTCGTCGAAATTAATCACGTTGCGTAATTTTTAGAGGTAGGAATTATAATTACTACCATCTGTAAGCGAGACTCAAATGTTTTCAGATTGTCTCCTGGCTGGGAACGAAGTTTACATGACTCACAGAACGCAAACCTGGTTGTTTGAATTTCTTAACAAAACAGCTACTCAATTTTAAACTGATCAGTACACTCTCTTTATTTGGATATTCAAGTTTATTGATTATTCGATATGGTGACAGTTCACTTGAGTGAAATGTTATGGCATAGGTCTAGAAAACGTGTTTAATCGCTTCACTATGTTTCTTACTCAGATAGATTAAACTGTGTCAGTCACTCAAGTGACATAGTTATCTTAGAGGCGATCTTATTTTGACTTATAGGAGATCGCATCAACTATCGCGTCCTCTGTGGACGTATTATTACTCTGAAACCAAATCACCATCTCCGAGGTCATTCTTTTGATGTTAGTGTGCGGCAACTCTGGAACATCATATCTGAGTCCGTTGTGACAAAGCGACTAACGGTTGACGTTAGGCGAATACTTAGTGTGTATGTTGGTGATGCTGAACCGAGTCTCCAGTTGACGTGACTATCTGCGCGCACAGTTGTAGCGTGGTGAGGAGAAGCGATCGTGCTATACTACTCACACCTCGGCCATTCAGTAGTGTGGCAACAGCATATATTTTGACATTGAAGTGGTCGCAGAAAAAATACAAGAAACGTTAGAGTGCAGCATCGTCCAAAATAGTCCTTGCTACGTAAAGAAACTGAGCATTGGGGTTTGTGGCAACCGTGACGGTCTGGGCCCAGTACCGTGTGCAGATGAGTGTTTTGTTTGTTGTCTTGTTGAAACGCAAAACCTGTGTTGCTTCCTTGAGTAAATAACCCTGGCGCCATCCGTGTTCTTGGCTTACAACAGAAGTAGTATACGACTTATAATGGCAATGCTAGCAAGTCAATGACGGTCGAAATACAGTTTACTTGTGCTAAATTTCTCTATCAGTGTTACACTTCTCCTTCCGTATTTTAATGTCACCTCCTCTTATTGTACTTCGTGCTTCCCTAATCTTTACCATTTCTGCAGCGAAAACTTGATTTCTGCTTTTATTCAGTTTTTTGTAGCTGACTAACTCAGAGTCAGATATATAAGCAATGTATGCGCTCTTTAGCACTTAAAATTCTATTAATCTCAGTGACTTGTATTCAAACCTAACCCCATACGGCAGGTTGTTTTCAGAAGTGACCCACTCTTGTCGCTTGGAAGAAACAGCCTCCAGTCTGCTGGATCTGTTTTTTATGTTATACAAATGGGCGCTCCGGATCCACGCACAAAAATAAGTTACTGTCATGCCTACCTTTAAACCATGAAAATACCGTTCTTCTGCCTCATTGACATTTTGTGAAAAATAATAAGATATTTTAGATGAGACCCAATTGTGGAAAGCTGGAGCTTTGGCTGTTTTCAAACCAGCGACAGAGCCACCATGCCCAAACGCGACAAACGCTCTACCAACTGAGCTCGGAAATTTCACATTTGGACTCGGTTACCCACTCGTCTCTCTGTCTCATATGGAATCCACCAAATAAGCAAGGGGATCGACTGCCCCGGTAGGATTAACCGAACAGTTCACACTGGAATCCTCCAACCCCACTGTTGAGCATAGAAACTGGAGTACAGCGCGAACTGTTCAAGAAATTCTGCCGGAGCAGTCGATCCCCTGGAACATTTGATGGATTCCTTATGAGACAGTGAGACGAATGAGTGAGTCCAAATGTGAAACTTCCGAGCTCTTGACGTGGCTTCGTAGCTCAGCTGATAGAGCGCTTTGTGAATTTGGGCATGGTGTTTCTATCGCCAGTTCGAATCTAGCCGAAGTCCAGATTTTTCACACTTGGGTCTCATCCAAAGTCCTAAATCTGTCAAACTACTTATTAGCAATGAAATATTTGCTAAAACACTCCTTTTTCTAATCAGCATAACCTTCTTCCAAATAGGCCATCCATAAACACTAAATCAGTCTTCCTGAATAGCTTGGTGAAGGTCAACGACAACATTATCACCTCAGGTGCTATCGTATTCGATGTTGATAAATCCATTAATCTTATCCCTTATGGCCTCCTCCTAAAAAAATTGCCATCCAACTAGAAGTACCGCGCTGGTTTGCATCCATTCCTTATGATACAATTATAATCAAAAGTGGATCAGTACTTTCCCCCCACTGTTTTAATCTCCGCGGATGTTCCTCTTGGGTTAAGCATATGAAATTATGCACCTGCCCATCTTCTAGAGGACCACAACTTTTTCAGTGATGAAACAAACCTTCCGATACATGGAGAAAAAACAGCCCCAAACGCTTTGCACGTATTATGTGAGACCACCATTTGAGTATGTTAATTGGGTCGTATTTTGCCAAACTCAATTAGATGTACTCGTCGTTGAGCGTGTTAGAGATAGCTTCTAGACCGGCTATAAATCGGAGACATGTCCCGTTTAATTCTCTACCTGAAATCCTTGATCTCTGTTCATCTGAATTTAATAGACCGATGAGTGACTTGATGTAATTCAATGTAACTTCAACAAAAGGCTAGTGGGATAGTTCAATGTCTTAGTGGCTAATAGGGGATGGCGAGATCACGCTCGGAAGTTTAATGAACTCATTCTCGGACTTCAATCAGACAACTATTTTCTTACTGAGTCATCAAACGCTGGAGTGATCTTATTTCTGAGGTCATCAGTTGCTCCTCCAGAAGTATCTAGGTTACAATTTACCTAGAACGTAGTTAGACTCGTGATTTCGTTTTGTCCGTGTTATTTACTGTACTGCTCAGTAGCGGTGCCACAGACACTGGGAAATGAAGAGACGACTTGACTGCATTCAGACGATTCGGACCTTCCGTCTCAGACTCATGTAACAATCCCCGAAGTTCAGATTGTTGTGGCTGTAATTAACGGATGGCTAGTAGCGCACAAGATAAATGCAATAGCAGCCTTTCCCGCACGTTTAAATGCTTCGTAAGACCAAACTACTAGAGCAAGCCCACCACGCTGCGTCAGCCGTCCATCGGTCTCGGAGACTAATTGGCTAAACCCTTTTTTCTCGCCCTCTCTCACCCACCCACTCACAAACGCCTATCCCGCGATGTCTGCTCGCTCGTGCCTGTTACTGTCAGCCTTTGAAGATGCCTGGTTTGCTACAAGTCAGAAGGTTTCGTACAGCTAAAACGTATCGCTGAAAGGACAATGCAAAAGCAGAGACAAGCAACATACGATTGCATGTGTGAATCTGGTCCTTCTGAAAACGGCCGTTTTCGGACTTGTCACAGCGCCCGTGGACCTTCTCCTGACATTGTGGGGCCATGGCATAGAGAGTCTAAGTAACGTGCGACGACTCAGTTTGTGTTCACAGTATCCAGCCCTGTCGTCCCATCTCACCTTGATAGCTTAACCACAACGTGAAATAATCAGCCGGTAGATCCACTGTCATCGTTCCGATCATTGATGGCTATCGTCCTCAATTTCGAGACAATCAGTGACGGGCGCGCTGGCCTTGAACAGGTTGCGTGCGTGATTCGCTTACGACTTCGGTCGGCTGTCCAATCACGCTCCAGCATGTCTGAGCGGTGTGTTGCACGGACGCCACCAATGCTTGACGTTAACCAATCACAGAACAGACGTCATGTGCGGTAGAGCGAGTGATGGTCCGTTTAACCACGGCATGATACCGTCGGCAAATTAACCAACCGTCACCGTTCCACTGGCTGACGGCCATTGCCAAGGCGTGCCGTCTCGGGTTGTCCCACGGTATTTCCGTTATGCACCGTTCTACGATACGCCCGTTCAAGCAAATTAAGTTGGAACCCACGGTTAGTTTGGCCACATCTGATCGAAACAGTGGACAGTGCGACCAGTCCAACGGAAACACAACGAGACCATCGATCATCCTGAATGAAACTGTTCCACAGGTCCTTGGTAATTCGCCACCACAGCTCAAGGTTGAACACGAGACCAGTTCGGAAGACAGCAGTGACGAAAACACATTCAAATGCACACATCCAGGATGTAAACGAGTGTTCAGCAGTGTGTCTGGACTAGACAAGCACTCAGTTGTTCACAGGAAGGAAGAGGCTCACATTTGTGATTACCCTAAATGTGGGCGTCGTTTTTTATATTCTTCGGATTTGACACACCACAGACAGACACATGAGAACAAATCCGAGAAATACAAGTGCACCTATGACAACTGCGGAGAATCTTTCCGCACACGATTGGACTTGCGCACACATTCGGTCGTCCATCGTGGTGATCTCCCCTATGAATGTCCTAATGCGGATTGTAAAATGCGATTCAGATTTGAAGGGCTTCTGAAGCGACACGAACTGGTACACCTGGACGAGACCAAACGTCCAATGTATTGTTGCTCGAAACCCGGATGCGATCGTTTATTTCTTTCCCGATCAGGCCTCGTCACGCACGAGGAGACGCACAAACGTGATCGGAAGTTTAAATGTGCGTTCTCTGGCTGTGGAAGTGAATTTCCGTTCAAATCCCATTTGGAACGTCATAAACTGACGCATAAATCGAAGCGGCCCACCTTCTGCTGTTTTTACCGCGGTTGCGATAAAGTGTTCGTAAGACGGGATATTTTACAAGAACATCTGAAATTACATTCCGAGGATTGTCCGCAGTTTGAATGCCCTCATGAAGGTTGCGATAGTAAGCTCCGGCGAGAACGCGACGTCATCAGGCATATCAGACAAAAGCACAATGGCGACTTGGACTGTTAATCGCCAACCGATGAACAGTAAGTCGTTGAGTACATTGTAGTTTGTATCTTTAACTGGACGATTATTTTCATACTGCCATAGTCTGTGGTCACGTGGTCGAATTTTGTCGATTTCACTGCCACGACGGTTAGACTGAGTGAATAATACTACCGGAATGTCGTAGCTTGGGTGGGTGATATAGATCATTCCTTTCCGTACCTAACTCTGGTTATCAACACGTCATCATATCAACCTTGTCAAATGCTTCATTGTGTGCTTACGGAACTAGGACACCAAACTATTAGCATTCTAAGGGGATGTTGTTGAATAGATTGTCAACGTTGCTCCTTGTACGGAAGTCGTTATATTGACTCCTGCCATTGTTCTGCTGTGGTTGTAACATTATAGGTCTCTCACTTTGTTTCGTTCAATCGTTGCCACCTTGTTCTAGAATTTCAGTGCTTTGTTAGTCAGTGTCCATGTGATTCAAACTGTGTGGTTGCCGACTTATTTCCCAATCACTGCTGTTTGCATGCAAGTGGACGTCGCGGTGCGCTCTGGTGCTTTTTCAGGCCTATTCGACACGTTCATTGTCATTACTCGCCCTCTTATTTGGTTTTATATGCGAACCCAAGCTAGCTAAATTATTGGGAGAAAATGTGCAGTGAATACCGTGTGTATGGGGTTAAACATACACGAACGTTGTTTCACATGGTTTTAGCCGACCGATATGTCCCAACCACTGGAAGTATATCAGTTGGGAAAGGCACAGGAAAAATCATACCTTTCCAGTACACTGTGTAGGTTCCGTATTTCGAGTGAACATGTGACCGTTTTTTCCGAGTGTGACTTGCGTTTTATGGAACAACTGTACATGCACCCCAACTGTTCAGTGTGTGTAGTCCATCAGACGAACTGTGCGAAATCAAGCAAATCAGGCAGGCAAGTGCGGTTTCCTGCAAACACGCACATCAAGGTTAGAAGGCGCACCTCATAACAAGCACTCAAGACGAATCACGCCATATTGATCATTCGATCCAGTTTCGGGTGGATTGGTCCGTATTATTCCACTGGGTCAGTCAGATTGCAGCGGTGTGAACGAACGCCTGTACGCTGTCTGAACCACAACAAGATTCGTACTAGCACCCCGGCTGCCATATATGACCGTCTGGTCTGATTCACTCTGCGTATTGTCTGTCATGTGTGGTGATCGTTTCGTCTTATATATTTAGAGCCCCTATGACCTAGTTTTCATAATAGACGGTGTTACCACGTCTTTTATCCCTCTCAGTTTTGGTCCAAACGATTGAGCGCTTAATAAAAAGAGACGATCCAGTAAGGTTCAGAAGTTAGATAAATATTCTACTATTGTTCCACAAACACTGTCAGAAAGCCTGTTATTTGGTTATCGACTCCGTAAATTTCGCTTTCTATGTGGCGATTATGAAACAGTTAACATCCTCTCCGTGTTTTGAATCCATTGAATTATAGTCCGTTCAAATGTACCGTTCTAGTTGGAACATCATATCCTGAAGTAATCGTCATGCGTGATACTGGATCGATGGCCGACTGGATGAGCCGTTTGGCTCGTGGTACGCAGTTGGTCGTTCTAAACATATTTCGTGAGTTAGCCGGATCAATCGAGTTTGTTTTTCTCATGAGAACATCGAATTGTTTAGGTTACCAAAGCGCTTGTGAATATCGTACCTCTATCGATATCACGAATCTTGTCGTTTGCGGGCATTCCAGCACATATTTTTGTTAAAGTTTTGTGGGCGTTTTGGTGAGAACCAACATGCACTGTGTATTAGGTAATGTTTCTATCCCTGGAACTTGCAAATGCCAAAGTTCCGCTCTTCGTATTTTGTCAGGAAAGGAATAGACCGAATCGTGCTTCCTTCGGTAACGAGTTCAATTACCGTTAACTCATCTTCGTCACAACAATTGGGCTGCTTACGCGAGTTTTGGCAAATGCACTTCGTACAGTAGTTTAACCCGCCCTCAAATGATTGACATTGGGATTACAATGAGGCTAGCATTCTGCCAAGTCACCTAGTCCATACTCATTGTCCTTTTAAATTAAGTGCTTGGGTCTCTGAAAACAACCTGATTTTA